TCTTAAGTATTAAAGCGCGTTCAGATTCCATAACCACTCGGGACTCACGGGAGCTTCTTTGCTAGGCTCCGCCCACTCACCCAGTCACCCAGTAATCACCCACCCAGGGAGGAATCTGAACGCAGCCCATGGTGGAAACATTACATTCCACCATGAGCCTAACCACTCCCGAGACAGTGATTCACATTCTGAAAATTTTTGCGCGTTCCGAAACCCATAAAAAAAAAGTGTTGCAACCTTTTAGCTGCCGACTGTGCCTGCGTTCCGCAAAGCGCATCATGCGCAAGATTTATCTTTTTATCTTTGTTTAACATTTGGTGAACAACAAGGATACCAAGATACATCATGCGCATGATGCGCTTTGCGGAACACAGCCTGTATGTATGTACACCCACGGTCATTGATTCTGTCCCTCGGAAATTTTCACAAACTCTGAAGTGATCACTTTTCTACATTAATGCTTATAATCCATGCACGATTAACGAAACGAAATCGTGCATGGACTATAAACATTAATGTAGAAAAGTGATCACTTCAGAGTTTATAAAAATTTCCGAGGGACAGAATCAATGACCGTGGGTGTACATACAGTCGGCAGCTAAAAGGTTGCAACACTTTTTTTTATGGGTTTCGGAACGCGCAAAAATTTTCAGAATGTGAATCACTGTCTCGGGAGTGGTTAGGCTCATGGTGGAATGTAATGTTTCCACCATGGGTTAGGCTAACTGTCATAAGTGATACAGAATCCGACATACATGGGTGTGACCACATCGAAAACCAGTAAGATCACTCACTTTTAACGCAGTATTTTTACTGCGATGATGTGGGTGTACAGTCGTTAGGTGCTAGCCTATTAGACTGGTATAACCGCACATCACAGCTTTGTATGTTACATAAGACCTTAAGGCTAGTTTGCAATAGAGGAGGTTGTAGAGGACTCTCCTCGTAATCACAGATTAACACAGTCGTTCGATACAATAAGGTGGTAACAATACATAAATCTTACCGCACTAACGGTGTGTGCGCTTTGCGTATATACTAAACAGAGAAATAAATCGGAATCAGAGTGGGAGAGACGCGCGCGAAACGGCGGGAACCAGTCAAGAGCCGCGCCCAGCCGCATCCGGCATAGGCGTGGACCCCGAGTAGCCCCCAAACGGCCGCCACGCGAGTCCCGCCAAATACGAAAACAAGATGTGGAAAACAAGAAGTGACATAGATTAGAGTAAAAAACAAAACAAAAAATTAAATACAATGAGACTATATCTATCCGCATAAAGTGACAATAACCGCTCCAAAAGCAAGGTCGCAAACAACAAAGTAATAGTAACAATAAACTTAAAATTAAACACTTTTACGCTTTGCATTAATTGTTGTATATTGCCACATAAATATTTCCGACTTAAATAAACTTATCAATAGAGCATATAAATGAATCGAGTGGATATATAATATCTTCCTCGAGAGTCGCCATGAGGTATTCGACGGGGTGAGGGAGGAAACCTCGTTCCCTGACAAGAGCCTCTTCGAGGGCATCACGCTGTTCACTATAATCTGTACATTAATTCCCAAAAGACATGGTTAGGAAATTCCTCCAGACCACAGCTTAAGCACAACGGAGAGTCGACAATGCGGTGCCGAAAGAGGCTCGCCCTCAGGGACGTATGTCCCGATCGAATTCTGTTTATCGTAGTTACCGTCCTCCTTCTAATGTTAAACTTTTTGAACCAGACCTGTTTAGTCTTAATTAGATAATTATCACAATAAAGAGCTCCTCGCGTGGCAGCTTCTTTTTTGGACCAATTCCACAGGTCATCATACATACTCGCACTCCACAGATTGGTAAATTCCGACGTTGGAA